ATTTAAATATATGTACATAGACCTATATCTCTATCATTATATATTAATACATTTACATATGTGCATGCCTATATTTATACCTCTATCAATAGCTTTTGCCTCCTAGTTGTTAGCTGAGGGCAAGTACTGAGAGTTGAATGAAGGTTGAACATGATAGTGGGACAGGAGGAAAGTAAAAAGAAGCAGATACCGTTCTTGACACTTGCAATGTGTTAATGAGCAAACCAGGCTATGGCCCCGGCCCCTGGAGCGGCTATTCCAGCAGGGGAGACAGCCAAGACACAGAAGTGCTCAAGTCTGTTTAAAATCACCTCTGACACAAAAAGCCATATACCGTCTGATCCCACTTCTATGAAACACTTAAAATAGACAATAAAAAAAATGGACAAGGGCGTCTAGAAAAGTTCGTTAGTGGTTACCAGCGGCAGGAGTGGAGGGAGGGGGGCGGAGAAGGGGAGTAATTCATGAAGAGGGACCGAGTTTCTGTTGAGGGAACAGAAACATTTGAAAATGAATAGTGGTAGTGGTTACACACCCCATCGTGAATGTCATTAAGGTCACTGAATTATACGCTTAGAAATGGTTAAATCGCATATGCATGCATAGATGTATACATGTATGTATGTGTGTGTGTGTGTGTGTGTGTGTATATATATATATATATAAATAATCTCCCCCATTCATTGCCATCATGTCACTTCTGAATCATAGTGACTCTGTGTGACGGGGTAGAACTGCCTCTTTGTTTTTCCAAGGCTGTGCATTTTAATGAGAGCAGAAAGCCTCACCTTTCTCCTGGGGAGTGACTAGTGCCTTTGAACTGCTGACCCTGCAGCTAGCAACCCATATATGTAATCCACTAGTACATCAGGGTTCCTTCAGAGAAATAAATACTCGTAAGCCCACTGCCATAGTGATCTGATGTAGAGCTTAGAGGCTCAGGCTCGTCTTTCTCCCACAGAGTGGTTGGTGGGTTTGAACCAGAGAGTTTGAGGTCAGCAGTACAAAGCCTAGCCCACCATGCTACCAAGTCAGCTCTCTGTCTCTTTCTCTCACTCTCCCTCCATATAAATGCACCATAAAATAAAGTAGCTAATACTCCTACTACATAAAGACCTCTGACTGCTTGCATTTTAACCGAATGATCCAAGTCAATTCACTTTATTTTTAATTTTT